TTCTTTAAACTTGTGATAATATTATACGGGGGCGTATATTTTCTTTACTAATCCAACTTATAATGTAAACACTTGTTCTCCTAACTTAGATATTTTAAAATCAATCTAGTTCAATAAAGTTACTCTTTACTGTAAAAACAAATAAATCTATCTATTTTAACTAACCAATTAAAAACACATATCGACAACGTCCAATAGGTTTTCTCAGGAAAGGAAACGAATGTTACTTCGCCTGTCAATGCGTGATTCAAATAATACCGTATTTACTTAAAATGCCGAAGATTAAACGCTTTGATGAAAGCTTCGGTTACTTAAAATGTAGGTCGAGTAAACATTTAATATCCTTTCGTTAACCGGCTATACTATTGATCTTGAATAAAAATAGTATAGTCACGAATGCGAACTATTCAGCTTTGGTTTACCTTCAGGTGTTTGAAACATGAAATGTAAATTAAATCCGTTATACTTATAACTTTAATATTGCCATTTAATTTAGATTCGGTAGTATAATCTTAGTGGCTCTTATTAGCTGTATTGCATACATTTTTGATAATTTTACAAAGCTTACAATAACAACAGCAATAATTCATTTGTATAAAATAGGATATATTTTTTACAAATTAGTGTTTATGTCATCGGCCTTACAAGGTCAAGCATTCATTGCTTTTATGATACTCGCATAAATTGCGAGTAAGGGATTATTTAGGGTTGTCAACTGTTCAGTAACGACATATCAATATTTAATAATTTCACCCACTTTAAAAAAATATAATGCATGTAGTAAATGTACAGGAAGACATAAAATATAATAGTAAGTTTTTCATAGTATGCAGTCGTACTCTAGCGAATGGAATATTCACAACGCGGTCCCGGAGCCCCGTTACCCTACTCTGTAAGTGGAATACTGATACAAAACAGTCAATCGCCTCTGAATCCATCATAGTAATGACTCTCTGTGGTTTATGACTCTCTGCGACCAAATCGCCAACTTTACTTGTAACTTGTACTGCGAATTACTTAGAAACAAGGTGAGCTATGATTTTTAAATGGTCATTGACACAGCTTAGGAACTGTTTTTGTTATAAACTCTTTGTTATTTAATTTGTGCCATTAGTCAAGTGGACTGTCCGATTTTTTGTAAACATTTTGTAATATGTTTTGCCAAATTTTAATGTTTCCGGCTTACAAATTTTATTTAAAAGAATATACATGCAGAATGTTTGTCTAGTTTAACTTGAATGAAATTAGAAGAGGCAGCATTGCAACAAGTCAAATTCTCAAGAGGTTTTTGAAACGCTTGTTCATATTTAGAAAGGGCTCTTACTAACATGTTTTGTGTCAGATGTTATGTAGTAGGTACCTATGTACGTAAAGATCACACACCGATTGCAGAATCATGTTCATGAGAAATGGCATTTGTCAAGTACATACATACATAAAAATGTCGGCAATCATTTGATCAAATGTTCTAACAACAATGCGTAGGCGCATCTCTCGTATTCTGACTAGTATACTCGCACGTATAAGTTACAGGGTTGAGAATATTGGTGTGAAGTATTATTTATTTATTTGCACATTGACCATTGAGCAAATTTGTCTTATGTCACTATGATTAATGTCAAGCAAGACTTATTGATGTCACATCTGTCAAAATCTAAATTGATATCGCTCAATCCTTAAGTGACATTTGGACGATCATGATTGAGAACCATTGAGCCTTTTAAAACGCAGTGTCATAAATTAATTGTATTTTGAATATTATGTCAGCCCTACAGCACGATCGTTAATTTGACGTTTCAACGTTCCCAATTGATGCCCACGCGCATGCTGTTTGACCCTCTCTAACCAGCCATTCACAAAATTACTATTGAGACATCATCCGCAATAATTACGCTTTATGAGCACAATTAGGTACTTTTGTATTCAATTTGTCTAGTATTTCTTCGGAAAAATGACGTAGTCGTTTACTTCCTTGTTTTAATGAGACAATTGTTGTTCTTTAAGTTGTATAATGCTTGGGACACCTGCAGACCCCACTAAGGGCAATAGAGCCATAATTTAATTAATTAAATGTCGAGATAATGTGCGCTTGAGCAGCGCGTTTGTTGACTTTTGTGGTGGTGTCTACTAGATAAGAAGAGAAAAACGACTACAATTTGGTACTTTGACTGACGTAATCATCTGCCATGTGTTAGTGGGTCAATGATCAAGTAAAAGGGAATTTAAGGTTGTAGAAAAGACATGTACCTAAGAAGTGACAAATTTAGGCGTAACTGCTGAGTACCGACTACCCACACACACTAACATTAGGTCTAAAGAGAACTTAGTAGATTTCCGATTGTGAAATGAATGTTCTAAAGACCTTTGTAATCAAACGTACATTTTTTTGTTTAACCTACTCCTCTAATATTTTTGTACTTTTAGAAATTGTCTTAGGTTACGGATAATTGCCTTCAATGAAGTGGACCGTAACCATCATTTATCGCCGGATTGGTATAAAAATAACGAGGTAAACCTCTCATATTTCGGTATTTGTTTTTGTCCAATATTTTGATTCAATCCGACCCAGAAAACGCGAAATGATACAAATTGGACTGAGAATTATCATGTTAGAGCTTTATTCTTACCACGTGGCGGAAATGGGCGCTGTCAGCCGATCCTAATGATGCGTGAAGCGAGCGAGCAGCTTGCTGCGTGGGAACAGTTACCGATATAAAAGAGAGACCATTTTTTACATCTGCTAAATCAAAGCCGATTTTTGTTGTTCTACTTTGATTGAATGATTGGATGGGTTCATGATTCCATGAACTCTAGGATAAAATACGGGATTTAATAAGGTTAATGTGACGACTTCAAAAGTTGTTTATTTACGGTCTCCGTATGAAAAGTTAGATTTTTAATGAATGCATGTGTGCCATTAACGTTTGTCTAATGATGATTATACGATGATGGCGATAGTGCCAATTATGTTTACTGTACATTGCTGCAAAAGTAGGTGCCGTCAGTTTGAAATATTCATATCAAATAATAGATAGGTACGTGTGCGGTACACCGACGATTTCACTTCGTAATGGTTGGTGCTAGTAGCACTAAGGGCTTGCCGTGTCATCACGAAATATAGAAAGCTGACATTTACATAACGCTGCTAATTAGCCCCAAGGATCAAAGCACGTAACAATACGTTTCATGAACTTCTCTCATAAAGATAAATATTTACTTTGTTCCTTGTGAATATTCTTTAAGTGAACTTAGAAGTCCTAAGTCTTTGTTCAGTATAAAACTGTTGCAATAATAACTAATTTACTTTTGTAACACTAGCAGTTTACAATTATCTATTTCATTGATCTTGAAATGTTGTGTTGGGTGCATTAGTATGTAGGAATGAATGGATTAGATAACAATCACGCCAAGGGTATCTGTATGCATATTAAATACTTACGTACCCGTGTCTTAAGAATGCAATGTCGTTTAACGCCTAGTTTAATAGAAAACAGAATGCCTTGTAATTATCAATTTGTTTCCTATTAGAGTTTTTATGAGCATTTCTATTAACCCGTGAGAAATGTCGTGTTGTGTAATTATCAAAGCAAATAGAGGAAGCGTGTCATCGTCTATTAGTGCAGACACTCGCAAGAGTAAGACCAATTTCAAGAGTCAGAGTCGCCGTTCTAAATATTATTGTTAGCTTTTCACATAACTATTATGATCTAGATAGTTATACTGATTGTGAGAAATATTGAATAATTGAATTCTTGGATTATTGTATGATTTACAAATTACAATATAAAATACAGTTCACATCATTGTGACATTACGAAACTATGTCCCATACAAACATATGTATTGTCTTCGTTTGCCCCTGAAAAATATGATGTATTGAGTTTTATTTTTTACACGAGCATAATAAAAAAGCCCACAATGAAGAGCCGCCGAAGATTAACATCTCTTCATACATGGAATACGGTTGTAAAGGTCGATTCTCTGATTAGTCGGGTCGTGACAAACGTCCTCGGGCCTGGACATGCAATTATAAAGTATAAACACTTGAATGTTTAAAAAGTTATGAATTTTCATGATTTTCTGGGAGGTAGGTTAAAGATAGTACACATCTTATTGTCCGTTACTAGTAATGTGTCAGTGGCGTATGAATAAAACAACGCCTAGAACATTAATGTACTTGTTGGCAACTTACCCACACTTATGCTGATGTCTGTGTCCACATACGCTGCCGTTTGTCTTCTTGCTCTATGAAAGAACAGTTTTGCATATAACATTCGGCCTTGCTTCGCTTGCCTTTAAAGTTAAACTTTGGAAAAATATCTACCAAAGTAGTATCATCTGTGTAATAGCACTTTAATGCTGTTTAGAACTATTGATTTACCTATATTCCAGTATTATAATAGGTAGATTTTCATAATTCCATACGACTTTTACCGAGCGTTCAGAAAGCTCATATCCGCAGTTGCGGTTGATTAATTTAATCTTCTCATTCATACTGGAAAGTGTTAACCGTCGTTATGTTATTACGGGCTCTACGCCTACCGCCTAGTAGGCGTGAGCTAGCAACCTGTTACTGCCTACGCGCAGCACTTGCCGGTGATCTTTGACCCAGCACGGCCGGCAGCGCGTGCCTATGAATGACGCCGGTATACTTTACGATAACATTATATTGCTAGATGTTTTGTTTACGTGTTGCTGTTTTTATGTTACGTGGCTCATTAGGCTGTTCACCTTATTTACCTATTACTATTACATTATCCTACTTGAACTTAAGTTTCTATTAACACTTCCTCAGTTCTATCCGAGAGTTCTCTTTCTTTATAACGTTGCGTTTAGTCGAAAATCTCAAGTGACTCTTAAACTGAAATTCAAATCGAAGTTATAACACCAAAAGTTATTGCTAGGAACTATTATTTTGTTGATTATCTTCGGTTGATAGCATATATGGCAGCTGTATGTTACTTACTTAGTTCGAACTCATTAGTGATTGTTTTGTTCAGCAGAGGCACCGCGAGTGGCAGCCGTGGTGGGGCCGCGTGGCAAGCGTGTTCAGACGCCGCAGCCCGTGCGCACGCCGCCCGTGCCCGCCGCAGCGCCCGCGCCGCAACCAAGAGAACAAGCCGTTGCACTCGCGCACGCCGCTAAAGGCGTTGAAGCCCTGGGCGTTTTAGTCCAGTATTTAGTGTTTCGAGTAAGTATATTATTCTATTGCTATGCTTTTGAATAATGCCTTCTGATATCATTTTAACTGAGATTTTATTATTATGATTTATAGTCAATAGGAAACAAATTAAGAAGATTGATCACTAGAAACGGTGTTTAAACATCATAATTTGTATGGCAGGTATTGGTACGGTACCAGTGACGTAAAACTTCCATAATGTTGTCTATAATATGCTTTAGTGATTTACGAAAATGGCCGACAATTTACATAAGTTGTAAGGCCTCTATTGTGTTTACAGACCAATATAACAAACATTTGACGGAGCGTAGAGGTCATACGAGTTTTGATTCACGTATTCGATCTACGAACAAATATTTGTATAGTCATACAAAAAGCTTTACGATTACAAATGTTTGTTTATGACTGTTGTACTTCTTGTTTGATGAGTATCAATACAAGATATCTTTATAAGGACACAAAAAGTTTAACAAAAGTCAAACAAGTCCTTGCTAATTGGAATACAAGATTATAATGCATGTTTGGCCGTAGATGGTTGGTCGTTCCATATTTATTTTTGCAGTAAAAAGAGTGTGGTATATTATTGTTACTAATGTTGGTGTAACGTTTCCAGTTGGATGCACTGAATGGTAGCAGTTGGCGTGTGGAGGCGGAGCGGTGGCGCGGTGTGGCGGCTGCCGAGCGGAGCAGCGCCGCACGCGCAGACCGCGACCGACAGCAACGAGCGCAAAAAGATCTCGATACCAGTAAGTATTTAAAAAATAATAAGAATACTTAGTTTTCATAGGGTTAAGCAGATATTCACATAAATACAATACAGTCGCTACATACCAATAAGTCTTATGTAATAGGACCGAGACTATCATTTCGAAATAGACTCTGAGAACCCAAAGTGGATAGTCGCACATCACTCAAAGACAAGTCGAGATGCGAGTAGTGTCTCATGCAGTAACAAAAAGATACGAAATTGAAATATAAATAAAAACTGCTTAGGCCTATCGAATTCTTTTCATAAACATAATTAATCATTAATTTCTTGCTACGTTAATTCCAGTCGCAGAATGCCTGAGCAAGATCTCAGAGCTGGAGATGGAGGTGTCGTCGAAAGAAGAGGCGAATGCGCGGCTTCAGGCCAAACACATCGAGGAGGTCGCTACACTTGCCAATGATATCAAGGGACTCAAGGTAAACGTCATCAACATTTCTATAGGACTAAAATAAATAAATCGTAATTCTTATTCATTTATGTACCGACTCATATTACTGGAACCTGATATAAAAGGTTTTTGTTTGTGCATATTTGCCGGTCTACCGAAGGCCAGGAATGTAAGATGCTGGTAGCTAGCTAGCCTTTAGATGTTTTTACCATTTCAACAGGAATATCCACTATTGTAATACGTCTGGAAAAAATATAATTAACTTGAATTATATCATTTATAGGATACAATCGAATCCCTGAAACACGAAGTCGCCGAGAGTAGGGCGCGTCTACACGCGCACAGCGAAATCGAGCGCACGTTACGCGCGCAACTAGAAGCAGCGCGGGCGGAGGTGGAGCAGAGCAAGTCCTACAACACATCGGTCATGTCGGCCAACACGTCCACCGATACATCGGTTGACACGTCGTGGGACAAGTCGTGCAACATGTGCGACGCGGCCTGCGACCCTGTGTGCTGCGAGGCGGAAGATTGCGAGCTGCGATTAGCTGCGAATGAGGAATTGAGCACAGACGCCAACGAGTTGGCAGCTGAAGTTAGTATTACAAACTAATATTAAACTACTATAATAACCGTTCATTGAAACTAACTTTTAGCTAGTCGTAAAATTTCCTAAAATAAATAACAATGTGAACTCGAAACATAGTATGTAACTTGTACGTACTCAACATCGGCTGAGTACGTACAAGATACATAGATAGGCTTAGTCTAGTTTAAGTGAATCTAATAGTTAAATCTTTAATTATCAGGTACGATCACTTCGGGCGGTGATTGAGCTGAAGCAGGCAGAGGTAGCGTCACTTCGCGATGCGCGGACTGAACTCGCGGCGGAGCGGGAACGACGCGCGGCCATGGAGCGTGAAGCGCGCGCCGCACGACACGCTGCAGAAGAGTTGCGGGAACGCGCCGCAGCACGCCAGCGTGACACCGACCGTCTGCGTGATGACAACAGGCGTCTACGCGACGCAGCTGCACGCGACCGCGACCATGCCGCGCGACTTGCCGCACTCAACGAGGAGCTGCGATACAAGCTCAGACAGAAGTCGCAGGTTTGTAAAAATGAGGATATCGAGTCAATAAAATCTCAATACTTTGGACATGAAAATCAATATAAAATGTCCTATTTTTTATAGGTGGTGTCTCTACTAGCGGGTGGTGGCTACATCGAGCGCCCACCGATGCGTGCGCGCACGTCGTCTGGTGACTCGGGGCGTTCAGCGTCTCCAGCACCTGACTCTCCCCCCTCACCTGCTGCATCACCTGCTCCAGATTCACCCCCTCTGCCCGCCGTTAAGGGCGTCGTCGAAAAACACGACTCCGTCAGCTGGGTTCTGGAGATCGAAGAAACACCTGAAGAAGTAGCATCTAGGTAAATAAATTCAGATTGAATGATAAACTTATGATTCACTAGCTACAGATGAAGGATTATCGAGTTACGAACAATTCACTGACCTATAATTTTATCGTGCAGGTTGGCCAGGCGGTCATCTTTCCGCACGGCTGCATCGCCCAGTGGCGTAAAGCGCCGTGGTGGTGGGTCACCAGGCAGTGGGTCGCCAGCCCCAGCTTCCCCTGCGCCCAACGCTTCTAAGTTGTTCCGACCAGGAGATTTGGACTTCCCCCCACCCCCACTCAAAGAGTCTGCCGGGGAAGCCATCTACATATACGACGATCGTCAGTATTGAAGTGTGGAAGGATTGGACTTTGTGCTCGTGACCGACTAGTCTGTGCCGCGTGCGCAGTGCGCCGCGGACGTGTGTCGTCCGGATCATGTTCTTGCCGGATTATAGTTAGCTGCACGGTGTGGAGACGTTAGCTTGTAGGAAACTGGGACCCAACCGGAATGATTGCTCTGCATCTCGCGTTTATGAATTGAATACGAATGTACCTTACATGGAAATGGTGAATGAAAATAATGAAACTAAACTCAAAAGATACCTATGGTCTAAAGCTCCTAGCTGTGGAAAACCATTGTTTTAATGGACTTTGCAAATAATTTATGAGCTTCAAATGTTATTTTACGTAGATTTAATACGAAGTTTGCTCTTTCTCAATAGAATTTAGCTTGAAGTGATAATAAGTAATATGTTATTCTCATAAACGATATTAAAACAATACCTTAGATATGTCATAGTAATCCTAGCTGAAGGGTTTTACCTATTTATCTTATTTCAATTTTTATCGACTTCACACGTTTCTACCATTAGTGGATAAATTAAATGAAATAAGGTAAGGAGTAGCTCCACACTCACTTTAAATATAAGAAGTTGCTTTTCTCAACATTCTGGCCTCGGGACGGTATACTCTAGTTAGGCTGCATTTGAAGGAAAGTGTTAATGTACCTGTAGATTGCGCCAATCAATAAAAGTAGTTAGGTATTTATAATAGTTCAACTATTTATTCTATATGTACTTCTTTTCTTTTTTATTTTTCTTTTATGTTGTACTTTATTTATTTCTGTTCATATCTCTCTTCTGTCTCGTTAACGTTCATTTCATATTACAGTTAACAATAATTTACAAGTTCCTCTTTCATTGATTGGTGCAATTATTCTTGTTTCTGATTGTTTAATAATAAAGGGAAGTGCTTTGATAATATGTTATCCTGTTCAGGCTTGTCAGTACTAGCAGGTTGTTACTGTATTACTTAGCAATAGATTGATCGTAATTATTAGGTATTTATATTGTTTTGTATTGTATTTTTAAATTAATTATTATATTTTATCACACTCGTTGAATTATTTTGTACAAATAACAATTTTAATGATGAAAAAATTAACATAGTTATAAGCGGATGTGTAATATTGACGTTTTTATTCTGTCTGTCGGTTTTGACGCTTTCATTTCATAACGGCTGAAATATTTTCTTCTATTGTGAATGTTAGTTTCGCATTATTTTTTATGTGTCTTTTTAGATTAATTTAGTCCGCTATTTCTAGAAGAAACTGAGAAACCAAAGAGTCGCGTTCATCTAAACTCTTTGCCATGTTCCTTAATTTAATGAAGTCTGTCATAGATATTGCATGATGGATCACAATGTAAATTCAGTTGATATGATTTTTATTTATTTTTAAGCTTATCGTTATATTACATTAAATACCATTCCAAAATTAAAGTGTAATCATAAATATAATAACGTGATTGCGAAGGATATTAATATAAAGAATAAAATAGTATGTTAAAGATATTGTGGTTTGATTTCTGTGCACTCTACATAGTCCATCTGTCGGTCAACCAGTTGAGGTGTGAAACAGTCCACTCAATTAGACAAATTACTCCCGTACAAGGTTAACTAGTTATGTACAAGTGATCTCTTAAGGAAGTGAATGATTTAAATGACTAATACATTCTGTTTTTTTTTGCAAAGAAATGTGTTGACTCCATGGCGGAGAAAAGTCATTGAGGTTGTTTTTATGAATCAAGTTTGACGATACTGACTATTGTATTAATCAAAGAAATTAATGAAATATCATTTTTTACCGACTTCTTCTTTTGTTAGTTCACTGATTAATCCGGCTTTTTGATAACCGATTTCCAAAATTCTTGTTTTGTTTGAATAGTTATACTATCGAAAGGGTTGCATTTTCTTCAGAATCTGATGATAGAATTCTAGGGAAATAGAGAGGAACTTTCGAAAATTGTAGTTGTACTTTTGAATTTCGTGATTTTGGTAAAGGGAAAGATAAAAGTAATATTAACCTATAAGAGATCTTTAAAATGTAGTTTGATAATAAAATATAATAATATGTCTAATAAAGTAGTGGGTACCTAATGCCAAAATTTGCCAAGGAACCCAAAACAAAAGATAACAGAAGAATTAATTTAGCGGTAGAAGGAAGAAATGACAAGACAAGTGATGACGCTGAATTACTTAATTTACGTTCGAAAGATTTGATTTGCAACATTAGGTGCTAAGTATAATCCTACTTAGATAACCAACTTATGTTCTAGTTGACTCTTTAGTCGTTCGTATCATAAATATATAGTTATAATTAGTTATAAATACAAGGACGTTAAAAAACAACGTCCTTGTAGTTTATAAACTGTAATATTTATTTCATTTTCGTCCTGAAGTAAAATGATTCTGTCTTACTGAGACATACAATAGTTTTCAATAAAATGTTTAAAACTAAAAACTTGTGAACAATTGCAAAAAGTTAACTTTGAAATGCATACGATTTCATAGTACGTAATCAAAACATCACGCTATGTAACACTCGGAAAGGTATTACTCGGTGGGTGGCACGTGAGATGCGAATAGTGCCTGCTGTTCATCTCTCATATGCGATAATCAATGGGTATTCTTTTTAAACTAAAAAATGGCATCTTCATTTTTTGTATTTACTTTATACTCCTTATGGCAAGTTGTTTTGCCGCGAGACGAAAACGAAATAAATTTCACGGTGTTTCTGGTCTGGTCTTCGAAACAGACTGTCCAAAATACCCAAGTGTTTAATACCGTACTAAATTGATGTAAACATTAATACGGATTTTACGTCTCACCTAGTCCTTGGGCCCGATTCTTATCAGTCGAAATAAAGACTCAATTTTCGACTTTTAACTTAAATTTTTGGCGAAAATACATTGCTATCTAATTTCGTATCACACTTTCACACCCAAAATTGTATACTTTGTAATTGTTGGGAGTGCCCTGCGAAAGTGCGAATATGAATCAGACGAACGTAGAGGAAAGTATGTACATGCGTTTTATATTGCCGCAATGTTCAAAATAGGTTACACATGACCTCATCGCAGCCGGACCTACTGCAACCATGCTGGATAAAATGACGTAAGTCATTTCACAGAATAAAAATCCATAGCTGAATGTAGCTGTGTTTATCTTCTATTGGTAATATGTTTTTGATCAATGCCATTTTAGACGCGGCTTCATTTCAATCTATTACTAATATTATAAAGAGGAAAGATTTATAGCTATTTTTGTATGTTTGTAATGAATATGCTCAAAAAGTACTGGGCCGATTTAAAAAATTCTTTCACCAATAGAATGTTCCATTCTTCCAATTTGACATAGGCTATATTTCATTTTGAAAAAAAATAGGGATTCTTGGTCAAATTTGAACAATGTAACCGAAGGTGTAGAAAAATGATTCTTAAAATGTCTTTCGTCGAATGCGCTGCCGAAACTATTAGCGATAGAACAAAATAATGTACAACAATATTGAAGAACATCATAATGTGTACAAAAATTCCGCGGTAGCATATGTCCAACTATTGTAGTTATGTCACTTCAACAAACCAAATTTCCAAAAACAAATAATTGTCTACCCCGTGTGAAGCCGGGACGGGCTGCTAGTTCAAGTATAATATATATCTAACGTTTACGTACACTATAAACGTTTTGTTTCGTCATGTGAGTGAGGTTACCGGAGGCCCAATTACCCTCCCCTTCCCCAATCTACCCAATCCCTGAATCCCCAAAGGTCCTCCAACTCGTAATCCCCAAATGACCGGTAACGCACTTGTAACGCCTCTGGTGTTCCAGGTGTCCATGAGCGACGCCGATTGCTTACCATCAGGTGATCCGCCTGCTCGTTTACTGGCTTATGCCATAAAAAAAATAGATTTCTTATATCAATGGCCAAACCTACCTGTATTCCTATTAAGAAGTCATCGGGGAAGCCTATGGTCAACGTCTAGCAACTGATATGATAATGATAATGGTGATGAATAATAAAACATATTTACTTGATAGCAGCAGTCTCTGCACCTTTTTAATTACAGAAGTCAAATTAGAATTGTGTGATTGTAGTTAGTACAACTGATGAATCTGTCTTAGGTCTAGATGTCATGCCCGAATCGGAACAGGTAGGTGTTATTTTGGATATCAAAATACTCAGAATTTACTTGCAGTTTGGCTTTGTGCCCGTTGCATGGCAATAACGCACTTTCTACCTCTTACATCACACTATTGTCATAAATCGAAAACTAACAGCAAGTTTCATTCTTCGGATCTGACCAAGTATAGTATGACTTATCAATTATAGGACTGTAATACGAAGGTTCGTTCCGATTAAAATTAAGTATTAAATAGCTGCATCCATTTGAAGTGCCTCCTGCAACGAGATGTTAACACCTAATGCTCAAACAATCCTCACTTCTGTCGCGGAGAACCTAATGGGTTACCGGGGCTCGGGCTAGAAGCGCAGGAGAAGGAACGGGGTGGTTTTTAGTCAGTAAGAGTCTGACACTCCCTCCCGTCTCACCGAGGCGGGAGTAGACACTCGATGGTTATCCCCGCTTAAAAAAAAATCTTCACTTCTACCTACACATTCCAAGTAAACAAATAGCACGATGACCAACACGTGCTTAACTTTGTCGAACTCATCACTGCATAATATTTGGAACAAAAAAGCAAGATTAATGTAAAAAACCCACATTCTATTAACGAATCAAGGTTCAATAACACAAACACACGAACTACATAGAAGCGAGGATATAGCCTTGACTTTAGTTGTAAACCAGTCACTATTATCATTAGTTATTTACCAATTAGACCTGCAACCTTGTTTACCCTAATTTATTGATAACGGTGTGATTATTTGGGTACGTCAGTGACTGTACTTGCCACCTGTGTTTGCTAATTTTCAGTAAAGTAGGAAGGATAATGTTGTGATAAGCGGAGTATGAAATATTTGAAGAGAAATTTTGACTGGTCAGGTAGGGTCCGAAGCGGCGACTGTTAAATATGAGGTTTTAAATATAAAGAGTACCTTATAGGTATATTGTTTACAATGTAAAACAAGGCACTAGTCACATTACCCACAACAATATTTTTTATGATTGTCTACTACATTTACGGGACCACAGGTCTTTTTGAAGAAGGTGGAAGCCAACTCGCAGAAACTTACTATCTTTACTACATATATGTGAGAAATGTCATCAGCCGACAATAGTTTCTGTAAAGGCTATAATTAATTGTTTTTTAATAAAACTGCTAAAACTACCCCGTTTTAACTCCTGGTCAGAGTTGGGGCTGTAGAACCTTATGCCCGCCCGCCCCGCAACCCATATCTAAACACATTATGGAAGCGTGCCCATGGAATTCCAACACCTACCTTATACATTTATAATTACATATTATTATATAATCATCTATAATAAAAGAATTTCGTAACCCATGATCTAAATCTAACATAAATATGATAGATTATATGTTATGATATATTATTAGTTAATATGCAAAAAAAAATAATTTAGACACTAAATAATAATATTAAATGATTGAATAATTAATTATACTAAATTTTCTGTAGCAGTCATGACATTATTACTGCAAAATATGCAACAAATAAATAAAGCTGTGGTCCTAAATCTTTATTTTTACTTCAACTACAAGTGAGTCAAATGATATTATATATTTTAACTCCCAAATAAAATTCGTTCAATTTGTTTTTTCTTATTGAATAAGCTAGGAAACGAGCTCACGGATGGATGATGGGACGCAACCGGCGCCGCCCTTGGACGCGTTAGTAAGTGCGTTACCGGCCCTCTGGGGATTAGGAATTTCAGAATTGTTGGGAATTTGGGGATTCGGGGATTAGGGAGATTAGGGAGGGGGTAAGTAGGCCTCCAGTAACCTCACTTACACGACGAAACACTATGCAAGTGTTGTTTCTCGTCGGTTTTCTGTAATGCCGTGGTATCACTCCGGTCGAGCTGAATGGCATTCGTACCAAATATGGATCTGCCAAGCAATCCCATCAAAAATAATTCATCACTGGAGCTCAAGATTAACATCCCATGACGGTTTATGGGTCGTCTCGGCTAAATAAGAGGGTTCGACATAATCTCCAGTTATCAGTTTTTGCTACTGCTGCGAAAATATTATAATCTAAGTCAATCTTAAAAATTGTCAACCTTTTTGCAGAAGTTGTTCATTTCAATTATTCTTCACTTATTTTGAAATGCATAACATGACATGCGATGACAATTATTAAACAAATCGATTTTCGCTATCTCTTGGAGATATCAATGAACTGGTTACCCCTTCCACAGAACGAAACGAGTGTTTATTTTAAGAGTTATGAAAACAATATTAAAAGCCCCGCTCGTTACTTGTAAGGCAGTGGTTCGGATAGTAACGCCGCGATGGTACAAGGTTCCAAAAGGCTACGACGTATGGGTGTAGACGTAAAATTCGTAATCAGCAATGATTATGTCAAGG